GGGAGAGAAAGACGGAGAGGAGGGAGGAGAGAGACCCCTACCTGCCGACCTATCGATCCAATCAATCAATCAATCAATCAATCAATCAATCAATTGATTGATTGATTGATCAATCAATTGATCGATTTTGATCGATCGATCAATCAATCAATCAATCAATCAATTGATCGGTTGATTGATTGATTGATTGATTGATTGATTGATCGATCGATCAAAATCGATCGATTGATCAATCAATCAATCAATCTATTGATTGATTGATGGATGGATGGATGGATGGATGGATCGATAGGTTGATCGTCGTCCCCGTCGCCGTCCCCGTCGATCAATCTATTGATTGATTGATTCAGGAAAGAGACCCCTGGTTCACCTCACCCTCCCCTGTCGTCCTACCGGTCGCCCCACACCCCTGTCGCCCTACCCCGCCGTGCTCCCCATCGTCCTCCTTGTCGCCCTCCCCCGTCGTCCTCCCCGTAGCCCATTGTCGACCTCCCCGTCGCCCGTTGCCGACCTCCCCGTCCCCCATCGCCGACCTCCCCTTCCCCCATCGCCGACCTCCCCGTCACACTCCTTGTCGCCCTTCCTTTCACCCTCCCATACCGTCCTCCCCTTCGCCCCACACCCCTGTCGCCCTACCCCGTCGTCCTCCCCGTCCCCCTCCTTGTCACCCTCCCCCGTTGTCCTCCCCGACGCCCCACACCTCTGTTTCCCCACTCCGTCGCCCTCCCTATCGTGCTCCCCGTCGCCTTCCCTGTCGTACTCCCCGTCGCTTATCGTCGACCTTCACGCCGCCCTCCCTGTCGCCATCCCCCGTCATCCTTCCCAGCGTCCTTCCCGTCGCCTATTGTCGACCTCCCCGTCGCCCTGTGGGCCAGATCGGGGAGAGAGGTGAACCTGCCTCCGTGAGAGAGAGAGAGAGTTTCACGACGACCTCCCCGTCGCCCATTGCCGCCTGTTTTCAGCGAAGCACAAGAAGAATGACAAGAGAGAGAGAGAGAGAGAGAGAGAGAGAGAGAGAGAGAGAGGCAGCTACTTCACGAGAGAGAGAGAGAGAGGCAGCTACTTCACGAGAAAGAGAGAGAGAGAGAGAGAGAGAGAGAGAGAGAGAGAGAGAGAGAGAGAGAGAGAGAGAGAGAGAGAGATTAACCTCGATGACAGGTTTTCATTGGCTAACGGCAGAGAGAGAGAGAGAGAGAGAGAGAGAGAGAGAGATTAACCTCGATGGCAGGTTTTCATTGGCTAAGAGGCAGCTATCTCCCGGGCTCCTCGGCGGCGCTCTCCTGGGCGACAAGTTGAAGATGGCGATGGCGTGGCTGGAGGGGGGCGCTTCAACAACAGGGCGAATTGTTGCACTGCACGAATTCGAAATGGTCTCTTCCCGCCGGCGAGCTTGAACAACAACCTCACCTTGGCTTGCTGAAACTCACCCAAACCAAGGAAATCGCCTTGGGACCCCTAAATTTTTTTTTCTATTTTTCTCAAAACGGGGCCCAACCGAACCCCCCCAACCGGACACCGGATCCGGACATCCAAGACCAAACCGTTTGGATCCCGATCCGGACGTCCGGTTGACAACCATGAAAAAAACTAAGTTTTGGATTTTTAAAAAGTTTCGGCAACATTTCATTACCCCCAAGGGGTCGAAGTGTGTCGTCAAGAAGAATAACTAACTAAAAAATAGAAAAAAATTGCCAACACTTCGTTATCCGCAAGGAGTCGACAAGTGGAAAGAAGAGAGTAGGGATAAAAGAGAGAATTTCGGCAGCACTTTGTTACTCCCAAGAGGTCAAAATGTGCGCCGATAGCATAAATAATTAAGTCATAACAAGATATAGAGGTGCCGCAGCAAAATGAGAATTTTCAACATAAATAAAAATAGAAAATAAAAAAATCAGAAATGAGAACATAAGTAGGGAATAAGATAATCCAATTTTTTGGAATATATATATATATATATATCGTCACAAACAGAACTGCCCGGTAAACCATAGGCAGAGAGAGAGAAGAGGACAACAAACGAGGGGCTGTGACAAACTGTTTCGTCGGAGTTTATATATATATATATGTAAAAACCAGAAAATTTTGAAGATGGTGGGAGGGGACGAAATAAAAAAGTAATGAAGAAAGAGAGAAATAGGTGAGAAAGAGAAACAAGTTGAAGTGGGAGGTGAGGAGATGAAGGGGTTGTAGTTGGGGGAGGGAAACGGGAGAGGAGGGTGAGAGAATGGGAGAGAAAGGAATGCGGAAGGTGGAGAAGAGAAACAAAGATTAGTGGAAGAGAGGAAAGAGGAGAGGGGGAAAAAAGACGGTGAAAGATGAGTGAAGAGGGAGGGGTATGAGGGAACAATGGGAAGGAGAGGAAATAAGTAGGGAAAAAAAGAGAAGAGTGAGGTAGGACGAGTAGTGGTAGAGTTAGAAAAGATGATTAGATGATGGGGGGAGGGGAGAGAAAAGTGGTCGGGGGAAAGCAGGTTAGTGAGTAGGGAGGTTTACCAAGCTCTTGGGTGGCCAAGCAGAGAACACTAACAACATCCACAGGATTTTGGCCTTCAAGGTGTTGCTGGCCTGCTGC